CCCCCCCCCGATTCTGGGTTTTCATGACTCTTTCAGAGCCGGAAGTATCGTCACTTCCGCACACCTGCGTGGACCCCGCGTGCGAGTTATAACGGAGGAGCTGCAGGGAGGGGTCTGGGTTTGTGGTCTGACAACCAAAATGTCCAGGGGTTTTTTTTTTTTTTTCTTATGTAGAGGCCCCCTCGGACGGTGAGGTCCCAAAGTGTAGTTTAAGCCTCCGTCCAGCAGTTGGGAGGCAGAGGTTGCCACTTGCTCCCCGCCGGCCAGGCCCGGCCCCCGCAGCCACGGAGCGAGCCCCTGGCTTGACTGGCCCGCTGCGAGAAAACATCCCTTCGTGCGCCTCGAACCTGCCACGCCATTCTCTTATCGCTTCAAGCTTGCGACGCGATTCGCTTTATTGCTTGAACCTGTGACACGATTCGCTTCAACTTGCGATGCAATTCGCGTCACACCTGCAACACTATTTGCTTTATTTGCGTCAAACTTGTGACGCGATTCACTTCAACCTTGCAGCACGATTTGCCTCAAACCTGTGACGTGATTTGCTTTATTGCTTCAAAACCGCGATGTGATTCGCTTCAAACTTGAGGCACAATTTGCTTTATTGCTTCAAACGTGCGACGCGATTCGTTTCATATTGTGTGCCCCCTTCCTCCTGGGAAGGCGAGAGATTAGAGAATAATGAATCCCTACTGACACTTTCTGGGCCATTTAGTATTTTGTAGCCCCCTCATATGTCCTCTCTCAGGTGTCTCTTTTCTAAACGGAATAGGCCGGGCTTCTTTAGTCTGCTTTCCAGCATTTCCTTCCCCCCTGCCCCAGGGTTATTTCCCCAAGGGTTTCCCAAGCACAGAGGTTTCTTCATGAAGTGTTTCTGGCAAAGAGGAGTCTAACTAGAGGAGCTGAGTTTCACAGTTGTTAGGGGCTGGAAGGGACCTTAAAGATTGTTAGGTCCAGGCTGGATCCAGGTCCTCCCACTGTGGCAGGGTGGCCATCATAGAGGACCGTCCAGTTGTTCTCTGTCCTCTTGATACAAAACCGGATGCCTTTATGCCTTTCTTGAAGAGAAAAATAGAGGACATAAAGGCATCAGATTTCATATCAACAGAGGACAGAGTAGCAGAAAACTGGAATGTCCTCTATGATGGCCACCTTAGGCACTTGGGCTGCACTATTAACAGGTTTTTTTTTTAACTTTATTTTTAAAAGAGTGTTTAAAATAAACCATGGTCAAACCACAGAAAAAACGTTCAAGAAGCAGCATATTACAGTGATCCTGGGCATGTTCACCACTGGTGGATCACTGGCATTTCTAACTGGACCAGAGTACTGCCAGTGACTCGCCAGTGGTGAACATGCCCAGGATCACTGTAATATGCTGCTTCGTGAACGACCTTTTTCCATAATTGTTTTTTTTTGTTTTTT